GAGGTTTAAAAAAGTGTCGTTTGGAGGAAGAATGTTTCATTAAAACAAATTACAAGTGGTTGCATATTATGATTTAATTTACGAACAGTAATTATTAAAATTTACTATACATACTGGAGTCAACTCTGCCATCCTTAAGGGGTTCCACCAGCGGTCATGACATTCTAGGCGAAAAAATCTTGGATTGTAAAGATAGTCACTTAAGTGGTGGCTGTAGAGTGCAAATCAGCAATGATAAAAGATAATCTCCCCAGCTATGATTGACAACACCTGCATGTGCAAGTGGCAGATAGATCTGGCGCCGCAGCTCACCTGCACTCCTGCAAAACTTACCAAAACACTAAAAAAAACTCAGATTTACAGAAGCTTCTAAAATATATTAGGATGACTTCCAGCTGCTTCGGTATTTCGGAAAAGGTTGGGGTGAGGGGTGAGGGGGAGAGAGGTGTAGGGGGAGGGGGTGGAGGGGGAGAGAGATGAGTGGGACGGGGGTGTAGGGGGAGGGGAAATAAAGAACAGGCGACCAGGAGGAAGGGCCGAGCCAAGAAATAGGAGGTTACAGGAAACAAAGAAGAGGATAATGAGTCAAGGTCCAAGATTCTTTTCTTTGCCTCCCACTCATTATTTTCTTCATTAAGACCGAAGGACGTGGCGCAGCAGAGGACAAAGAGAGAGAGAGGGACGAAGAATGTGATGTGGGTGCTTAGAAGAGGCGACGTCTACGTCATGCGTCTTGACGTAAATACTTGGCCGGGGCGACGCCTTTGGAATGTATCTTGACGTAGATACTTGGCCGAGGCGACGGCTTCATTATACGTACAGATAATAATCTCTGTATTATACATGTTTGTAAATCACGAAGAAATTAATATGTAACACGAAAAAATATATGTATGTATGTATGTATGTATGTATGTATGTATGTATGTATGTATGTATGTATGTATGTATGTATGTATGTATGTATGTATGTATGTATGTATGAACGCAAAAGAGGAAGGGATAAGCGAGAGAGAGAGAGAGATGGAGGGGTAGTGGAGAGGAGGATATGGAATAGGAACACAATTCCCTGTCTACCTATTCCATTATCAGCTGCCACAAAATTATTGACTGTAATTGGAGGACATATTAACGAGATGAAAAGTAATTGGAAAACCCACAAGCTCCACCGAATCAGTACTTAGTGATGACTGGAACATGAAATTGAGAAACATATACCAATGTTCCATAATCATATCCAGGCTGTTTTTCTCCGCTAGCTTCAAGCAAGTGAAATCCAGATAACAGAGTAAAGACTGAGAGCCTATCTATCTTGTCCAGTAATGTCTGTGGAAGGAATGTCTAATAAAGCATGTAAAATGAGGAAATAACTGAAGACACACAAAGGAGACGAAGAATAGCAGTGTAGCCAAAAGAGGGCAAAAATTATGAACTAATAAATCTGATGTAATTTATCAGATGTAAACATGATAACATTGTAAACAAACATTTAAGATGTAAATACCTACTCATTCTATGCATCATGAACTGTAACAATAGAGGGAAGAGGAAGTAATGATGGTTATGATCAATCCAAGAATACAAGCACTCGAAAAAAGAATACAGAATTATCATTCGAAACGGAGTGAAATCACACCAACTGAATGTCAAGTTTCCTAGTTCCCAGTCATGGGAGACTTCAACAATGGTGTAAATAATTTGGACACAATTTATTTGATAGAGAAATAGATGCCTTAACACGGCAAGTTCATGTAATTAACAGAAAAGTTGGAGATAAGAAGAATTAGGATATGAGTTACCAGTTAACTAACAAAGCTGGATCTTCAAACCATGATGTGTTAGGGAAAAGGTATAGAGAACACGAAGGATGGAGTTAATAGAGGCATGAAAAACAAAGGTGACAAGAACATTTTAGTTATTGAAATTTAGTAGATGTATAATGTGTAGAGACGGGGAGGTCAAGTCTGGAAAACTTCCATACCTTAAAATTCAATACCAGAAGATATGATAATTTCTTGAGAGAAATTACCCACAATTACTCTCAGCCAATTAATCTTAGAAATATATTTAAAATATAAAATGCTGACTAAAAAAAATGTTCAAATGATTTACTGAAAGTAAATGATTTGCGACAAACTAAAAGTTTATTGAGCTGAAAGACTTTAAAAAAGCCTAGACTGCAGTCTTTGGGGAAAAATATATCCAACAACAATCTATATTGATTTTACATGTGATTTATAATATCCCACATGTCGAAATTGCTACATAAAAAAATACATAAAAAAGTTAAAGCTCAATCCAAATTCTGCTTCTGTATTCATAAGGAAAATAAACTGATTTTTTTCCAGAATATCTAGGAGAATAATAATTACTTTTTATATAGTAATTATTCTTCTAGCCGACGTAATTACGTTGTTTTGTTTTGGCAATACTCATTTCAGTCAAGTGACGGCTGCGTCACAAAGTCAGAATTTGCAATTGTGAATGGTACGTGTTTTTCCCCTTGCATAGCAATTGGCCAGAGTGGTGTGTTATTGTGTTACACAAATGTCATTTGTTTTGATCATGGCAACGTGTGTCAAGTTGATGGTTTGGCGGCAGTTATGTAGGTTTCTGTCTATATGTAGGATACGTATATATGTATATATACATATACCTATGTGACAGTGTCAGACCACGGAGGAAAATTGAAACAGGAATTTCCTTAAGTACTTTCGTATATTAATACATCTTCAGATCATACCTATGTGTGTATTTACTATTTGTGCCTGAAGGATAGAATTGTAAGCTCTTGGAACCCGACTTTCTACCCGTCGGATGTTTGATGTACTCACTCCCGACCTATTTTCCTCTATCGTATCTGTCACATATATATTTTTCTGCCATAAACACAGACACACACGCACACACATATACACATCCCCAGGACGCAGCCCGTAGCAACTGTCTAACTACCAAGTACCTATTTATTACTAGTTGAAGAAGTACATCAGGTGAAAGAAAATCTGCTTAATTGTTTTTGCTTCGAGCCGGAACCGAACCCAGGCCCTTGAAACTACGACCTCTGGTCTATCATTATGTCCTTAGATATCTCTCTCTCTCTCTCTCTCTCTCTCTCTCTCTCTCTCTCTCTCTCTCTCTCTCTCTCTCTCTCTCTCTCTCTCTCTCTCTCTCTCTCTCTCTCTCTCTCTCTCTCTCTCATCTCTCTCTCTCTCTCTCTCTCTCTCCTCTCTCTCCTCTCTCTCTCTCTCTCTCTCTCTCTCTCTCTCTCCTCTCTTCTCTCTCTCTCTCTCTCTCTCTCTCTCTCTCTCTCTCTCTCTCTCTCTCCTCTCTCTCTCTCTCTCTCTCTCTCTCTCTCTCTCTCTCCCTCTCTCTCTCTTTCTCATCAAGTGGTTGGGCACCTTTCCCTTCCCCCGTTCCATCCCAAATTCTTATCCTGACCCCACCTTCCCAAGTGCTACATAGTCGTGATGGCTCGTCGCTTTTCCCTGATAATTCCCTTCCCTTCCCTTCTCCCTTCCTCCCTCCCTCCGAAACACACACACAAATCCTGTTGACTGACAGACAAATACACTAGACAGACAGACGACACACACAGAATGACAAACTCACAGCTCATCAATACCACGACCATCATCACCGAGACTGATATTGCCTTCACCATGAGTCTCCTATTTTACTCACCACTGTGCTCATTGTCTCCATAAATAGCAAGACTGTCATCGTAACTTATAATTCACTTCACGTTGTAACTTGTAAGAGGATAGTTCCTTGTGGCGGAGCGTCCGTTGCAAGAGTTCATGAGAGGTCAGGTGACACAGTAGGTTCCCAGACCTCGCTCCTTGAGATGTTAATGCTACAACTCATTATAATACGTGCAAATGTCTCTGTGGTGTAGTGGTAAGACACTCGCCTGGCGTTCCGCGAGCGCTATGTCATGGGTTCGTATCCTGGCCGGGGAGGATTTACTGGGCGCAATTCCTTAACTGTAGCCTCTGTTTAACGCAACAGTAAAATGTGTACTTGGATGAAAAAACGATTCTTCGCGGCAGGGGATCGTATTCCAGGGACCATAGGATTAAGGACTTGCAAGAAACGCTACGCGTACTAGTGGCTGTACAAGAATGTAACAACTCTTGTATATATCTCAAATGAGGAAAAGAGACTGATAGGCAGTTGATTATTTAAATAAAAGTTGTGGTTATTTGTTAACTTGGTGAGTATGGTGTGGCAGAGAGGTCTTCCGCCCTTCCTCAAGGCCCCTTGCTAAATATATATAAGTCTCTGCTAATTTTCTGACCAGCAGATTACTATTGTCAGTATTATTTTTTGTTTATGCCTGTGAAGCCGTCCGCCCTCTTATGTTGATGAGGGATTTTAAAAAGGTGTTCTTCTAGAGACGTTCTCATCATTTTGCACTTCTCTCTATCATATTGTTCTCTCTTTCTCTCTTAATTGCACTTTATTAATTAGCAATTTTCTCTTCTTCTAGAGACGTTCTCATCATTTTGCACTTCTCTCTATCATATTCTTCTCTCTTTGTCTCTTAATTGCACTTTATTAATTAGCAATTTTCTCTTCTTCTAGAGACGTTCTCATCATTTTGCACTTCTCTTCATCATATTCTTCTCTCTTTCTCTCTTAATTGCACTTTATTAATTAGCAATTTTCTCACCTTGTGTTAATAATGACAATAATCTATTTCCTAAGTTTCTTTCTGTGTTGAGTTACTTGCCTTTTTTCCCTAATATTCCTGGCACCTTATACTAACCTTATGCGTACCGGTAAAAAAATTGATTAATTAAACGATATTTCCCTTTAGAAATGTTATAAATTTGTCCACTCGTACCACCTCCTTAATAAATAAACCAATTTAAAATACTTTAATTTAGCGCGAACAGAACGTATCAGATGTGCGAGACGATGCTGTTATCACTCTGAAACACAGAGATCAGAGATGCTGTTATCACTCTGAAACACAGAGATCAGAGATGCTGTTATCACTCTGAAACACAGAGATCAGAGATGCTGTTATCACTCTGAAACACAGAGATGACAGGTGCTGTTATCACTCTGAAACACAGAGATCAGAGATGCTGTTATCACTCTGAAACACAGAGATGACAGGTGCTGTTATCACTCTGAAACACAGAGATCAGAGATGCTGTTATCACTCGGAAACACAGAGATGACAGGTGCTGTTATCACTCTGAAACACAGAGATCAGAGATGCTGTTATCACTCTGAAACACAGAGATGACAGGTGCTGTTATCACTCTGAAACACAGAGATCACAGATGCGTTTTATGTGCTGAAAATCATGCACAATCTCTGAATTACGATTAAATAAGACGACGAGACCTGAAAGTCATTAACGATAATAGATCTGAGGATATCGTTGCCTGACAAGGTGACGTGAGACTAAAGTCGATGTTTTGGTCGTTATCGTGATGGAATACGACTCCTTGAGGCCGTTCCAGAGGCGATATTGATGGAGGACATTACTCCATTTTTTTGTTATGAGAGGTCATTTATTTGTATATAATGGAATGTTTATGTAAGTAAACGTTTGCTAAACAAATGTGAACATTGTTTGTGTTGCTCACGTGGTCCCGCCAAGTGAGGTGATTCGATAAAAATCACCTAAAAATTTAAAAAAATATTTTTTAAAAATTAAAAAGAAAATCACCTAAAGATAAAAATCGATATGCCCAAATTTACCACCGAGCTGTTGTTGTTATTGTTGTTAAAGATTCGCTACTTAGAACAAAAAGTTCCATGTAGCACGGGCTATGGTGAGCCCGTATATATCGCACTACTGGATCATGGATAAATAGTCTCACGACTACCAATATTTTTGTACAGTCGTGTGGTCTAGTGGTTAAGGTACCAGGTACGCCAAGGTGCATAGTGCTCCTGGCTGTCTGGGTTCGAGTCCTTCTGGGGTGTGGAGTTTTCAGTGGCATATTGGTGGGTGGAAGTGAAAAAAATGTACAATCTTCTTTTCACTTCCTTAAGTCCTTAAGTTCCTCCAAACTAGAGGAACTAGTTTTTGGTGTACCAGTAAATCTTGAATAAATATTTTTTTATCAGTACTAATAGCCAAGTGGATCCAGTCTGTTCTCTCACGATGCCACAACGTGCAAAAAGTGGCGTACTAAAACACCCAAATCTAACTTAACCTAACTCGACCCTCGCATAGAATACATGAATGATTGTGAGCCGCAGGATGATATGCAGTAAATCATATTTCATCCGTTGGGGATTTTGGGGATAAAATATGAGAGGTCAGGAGAGAGGCCCAGCCACGATGTTTCATCAGTACCAACAGACAGATGATGTTTATACATCATCTCTAACATTTTATCAGTACCAACAGTTGAACGTCCGAAGGGATCAGCCACTATTTTTTTAGCATTCTTTACGAAACAATAGACGGACGCTCTACGATATAATAACTCCGGTTTAGCGAACAATAGACTTACTCTCACCTTCCAAGAGACAAGAGAATAAAATCCCCAACACCACCGGAAGTTATGTCTGCGCTCCTCTCCTATCTACAGTCTTAAATTGGCATTGGAGTTCTTTAAGTTCCTTCAATATTTACGACTGTTAACTCCTGCCCAAAACTTTCGTATTCATGACTCCCACTCAAACCTGCTCGGCCGTAAAGACCTGGAGCACTCAAGTGACTGTAATGGAACTCACAACCTAATTACACAACTTCGGGCCCTCGAGACGGCAGACTTGTATCAAGAAGAGGGGGATGGAAAGACTTTGATAATCTCTTGTTCGCAATTGATATTCTGTGATCCTATTAGGCTGCTAAGAACTATGGAAGGAGTTAAGTTCATTAAGGTAACTGTTATCATTAAGGTAACTGTTATCATTAAGATAACTGTTATCATTAGGGCAATTATAGTGCCGTAATTCAGAGTGAAACTGTCAAAAAGGTGGTTGAGGTGCTGTTTATTTTGTATCACCGCTGTAGTGCCTTCCAAATATCTTGCGAATGCTAACACCTCCATTATAATAATTAAATAATTATATAATTAATAATATAAGAATAAGAATAATGTAAATAATAATAATCAAGAACAAATTCTTTTTAATGTCTCTGTGATTCTTGTGGGCACCAATTTTCCACTTGTGTTCACTTGTTCGTGTTCTATCCGTGCAATTAAAAGAGTTTGTCTTTGTTTGTTTGTTTTGTGTGTTTGTGTGTGTGTGTGTGTGTGTGTGTGTGTGTGTGTATTCACCTAGTTGTGTTTGCGGGGGTTGAGCTTTGCTCTTTCGGCCCGCCTCTCAACTGTCAATCAACTGTTTACACTACTTTTTTTCCCCACACCACACACACACACCCCAGGAAGCAGCCCGTGACAGCTGACTAACTCCCAGGTACCTATTTACTGCTAGGTAACAGGGTCATTCAGGATGAAAGAAACTTTGCCCATTTGTTTCTGCCTCGTGCGGGAATCGAACCTGTGTGTGTGTGTGTGTGTGTACTCACCTAGTTGTGTGTGTGTGTGTGTGTGTGTGTGTGTGTGTGTGTGTACTAATATAGCTCTTCTCATCTAACTGTGCCTCTGGTGTGAGTTGAGCATCGCCAGTTTAAAACCCTGAAAATCCCTCAAATTTTTCATGTTTTCGTACTTATCTTCCACTTTCTCAACCTTTTTTGTGTCATCATCATCAATTTCCCTATCCTTGTTTTCCGTCGTCGGGTTCTCCTACATCATCATCGTCTCTTCCACCTCTATTGGTCGTAAAGAGGCTATTACCCCCCTTCATTACTGTGATATATTACCAGTAATATCTCTCGGTAATGTATATTTACGCTGCATTTCTTCCCTTTATCTCTATGTTAAGCGCCTCATTTATTCCCGTGTTCCTTCTTCCATGATTCTCTTTGGCATTGTCTCTCTGAATATTTATATTTATAATTATTCACGCTCTCTCACACACACACACACACACACACACACACACACACACACACACACACACACACACACACACACACACACACACACACACACACACACACACACACACACGCGCGCGCGCGCGCGCGCACTATATATATATATATATATATATATATATATATATATATATATATATATATATATATATGTGTGTGTGTGTGTGTGTGTGTGTGTGTGTGTGTGTGTGTGTGTGTGTGTGTGTGTGTGTGTGTGTGTGTGTGTGTGTGTGTGTGTGTGTGTGTGTGTACGTTTCCTCTCTGTGTTACAACGCTGAGTGCGCTGGGAAAGGAAGCTGCCGGCTCTAGGGTCTCTTGTTTCGTTTAGCTTAGAGACCAGATCGTTTAGAAAACTGCTGGTAGCTTTCCTCGAGCACCAAGTGTCTCCGAGGCAATGGGGACAAAATTAGAATGATGCTCCAGATCCCTGTACTTTGGCTGATTCTTGTGTGATGGCAGCACCAGCTGGATGAGCCACTCTGAACTGAATGTTGATTCTAGTCGAGGTTGAATCGAACGTTTGGTTTCACACGAACTTTCCTACTGTTCTTCCAGGAGAGGAAGGGGTGAGATTATGAAACGGGGCACTCAGTTGAACAACCAGCTGAGACAAGGCTCTTCTCAATGATGTCATTAACTTCGCTGCGAATTGAGAGCCAAATTCCTGTGCCTTAGCAGAACAGGCCACGCTGGGCGTACCTGCCAGCCACAGCCTCACTGCAAATACGCCTATATTCAGTGTGGATTAGGGAAGCAAGGCGGGAACCTCATCAATTCGGAGGGAGCCTGTATTGTGAGACGTATGCCAGTGGCCGACATTCGGGGTTGCTAATAGGAAGTCACCTGTAGGAGGAGCTGCTGGAGCTGCTGCTGTGAGAGCAACAATGCCACGTTGCAGCCTCTATGCACATGGCAGCTGCCTAGTCTACAATGGGGATGTCCCAGCTGGATTTGCTTGTGGGCTTTAGATAGTGGTGGGAGGGAGTGCTGAGGGCACGAGACAGACCCACTTAGTGGTGTTGTGTGTACAGTTGGGATAGTGTTCCCCTGTCAGTTGGCCTCTGTTTGTCAGATGATGAGGAGGCGCACAGGGAAGCTGGTACATATATATATATATATATATATATATATATATATATATATATATATATATATATATATATATATATATATATATTAGGGGTACCACCTCTGGTGCAATTGTAGGGACCCATAGCCTCGAAGAAGAAAATACTCGAAAAAAAGTATTCAGAGAAGACCTTGTGGATTCTCATAAGGTCTTTTTTTCCTATTATTTTCAGTTTTTTTATTAATTTTATTTTATTTTATTACATTGCTACAGTTTACAGAAAACACACACACACACACACACACACACACACACACACACACACACACACACACACACACACACACACACACACACACACACACACACACACACACACACATACATACAACAATCACTGTTCGAAGATCTCATCCAGCTCTTCGGAGGTTGGGTGCGTACCTCTCTCTCTCTCTCACTCACTCACTCACTCTCTCTCTCTCTCTCACTCACTCACTCACTCTCTCTCTCTCTCTCTCTCTCTCTCTCTCTCTCTCTCTCTCTCTCTCTCTCTCTCTCTCTCTCTCTCTCTCTCTCTCTCTCTCTCTCTCTCTCTCTCTCTCTCTCTTTCTTTTCTACCGCATCATTTTGCATTCTTTACACCTTCGTCCATTAGCTCAACTACCTTTGTCAACAGCCCAGTACTCTGAAGGTGACACGTAAAAAGGATTTTCCCCCAATTAACAGATCACGGCTCATTTTTCCATTCGTGACTTTCTCTGAAGAAGGGTGTCTCAGCTCCTCTCCTGTGAACTAGTTTAACTGAAGAGCTAGACTCTCCGCAGCCAAAATCATCGCTGTATTCATCAAGCATTTACATATTTGTAAGTATTGAGGGAGAGAGCCTGCGATCTTTAAAGTGATATGAAGATTGAGCCTTTTGGTTCGTTTTTGGAAGTAGCAGAGTATTTAATATTTTTTTTTGTCACATTGTAATTTAGTTAATGCTATATTACGATATAAATTATTTTCCCCATTTGGCTGTGGGTTTGTTTTCCATATTTCAGGTCATGTGATTTGAAGGATGGTCGTTCTTGGGTTCTTGGTTTCCATATGGAGTTTACAACCCAATTCACTGATCAACTTAGGTGCATTTGTCGGCGTCATCGAACTCAATATATGAAGCATGTTCCAAAAAAGCCTCTTAGCCGTGATGGTATCATGTACAGTATAAACAAGTAGATG